ACATTATATTCCAGTTAATAATCCTTCTTTTATCCAATCTAGGCTCGTATTGAGGAGCTGGAAGAAGAGATTGAGGCTGAGAGAGCTGCTCGAGCTAAGGTTGAGAAGCAGAGGGCTGACCTCTCCAGGGAGCTTGAGGAGATCAGCGAGAGGCTTGAGGAAGCTGGTGGAGCGACAGCTGCTCAGATTGAGATGAACAAGAAGCGTGAAGCTGAATTCCAGAAGCTGCGTCGTGATCTTGAAGAGTCAACCCTGCAGCATGAGGCTACCGCTGCAGCTCTCCGCAAGAAGCAAGCCGACAGTGTTGCAGAGCTGGGAGAGCAGATCGACAACCTCCAGCGTGTCAAGCAGAAGCTGGAGAAGGAAAAGAGCGAGTACAAGATGGAGATTGATGACCTCTCCAGCAACATGGAGTCTGTTGCCAAAGCAAAGGTATTTAATGTTTTTCAGGAAAACACAACATGATTTTAGCAAATTTCCAAAAAATTAAAGTGGCAATTGAATACAGAATATCTGATCAATAAGTTCCTTGTTCATGTTAATTACATGCTAATTACAGGCCAATCTGGAGAAAATGTGCCGAACTCTTGAGGACCAGTTAAGTGAAATCAAATCCAAAAATGATGAGAATGTTCGCCAGTTAAATGACCTGGGTGCACAGAGAGCCAGACTGCAAACAGAGAATGGTATGTATCCAAAGATTTGAAATGTGGGGTACAATAATAATTTTCAGTTCAGATATCATTAATTCCAATGGTCCAAAATGATGATTGGTTTGTGTGTTTAAATGGGTGCACTGTGATTTGTATAGGTATAGCAGTTATTCCCACAACTAATGTTTAGATGATTTAATAAAAGGCATAGTTACATGTAATATTATTTTACCTGTTTTTATGTATTGTATATAGTCCTATTTAAAGAACAATTCCATATGTATAATTTGTTTCTTTTAAACATAATTTTAAATAATGTGTTTTCAATTTAATGTAAACATTTTCAGCAATACTTCAGATATGAAAGAAGCCATCCAAGTCTAATGTTTACTCTTATTCTTTCAGGTGAGTTTACTCGCCAGATTGAGGAGAAGGATGCTCTTATTTCCCAGCTCACCAGAGGCAAACAGGCATACACTCAGCAGATTGAAGAGCTTAAGAGACACATTGAGGAGGAAGTGAAGGTACAAAATCTTATATTTGCATTGTCCACTTTAAAATGCCATTTGTTTTTTGGATTTCTGTCTTTGTATCAGGCATATGATATTTCCAACAGACAACAATGGTCTGATCAGGTCTGATTTGGTTTCTGTTTCTTAGTTGAAATAACAAAATCAAATTACTTTCTATAGTCACCATTGGAAGATTGAGTAGTTCCTTAAAATATTTTGTGTATGTACTATGTTAAAGGAAAGACTGTCATGATTCTTATGATGAATTTGTAGGCCAAGAATGCCCTGGCCCATGCTGTTCAGTCAGCCCGCCATGACTGTGATCTGCTCAGAGAGCAGTTTGAGGAGGAGCAGGAGGCCAAGGCTGAGCTGCAGCGAGGAATGTCCAAGGCCAACAGCGAGGTGGCTCAGTGGAGAGCCAAATATGAGACCGATGCTATCCAACGCACTGAGGAGCTGGAGGAGGCAAAGTATGTCATCTTTTTTAACTTTTATTGAATAAATAGGTTTTTAATTCAATATTTTACCACTACACAGTTCTTTGCTAAATTAAATTTGTGAATACTTGATTACAGGAAAAAGCTTGCCCAACGCCTGCAGGATGCTGAGGAATCCATTGAGGCGGTGAACTCAAAGTGTGCCTCTTTGGAGAAAACAAAGCAGAGGCTGCAGGGTGAGGTTGAGGACCTCATGATTGATGTGGAGAGAGCTAATGCTCTGGCTGCCAATCTTGACAAGAAGCAGAGGAACTTTGATAAGGTAAATGGTGAAAATGGTCATCAAAACCAGTTTTATCTCAAGAAACACACACCTAAATAGTAAACTAATCATATTATTAACCTATTTAATACTAGGTCCTGGCAGAATGGAAGCAGAAGTATGAGGAGGGCCAGGCAGAGCTGGAAGGAGCTCAGAAGGAGGCTCGCTCTCTCAGCACTGAACTGTTCAAGATGAAGAACTCTTATGAGGAGGCTCTGGATCAGCTGGAGACAATGAAGAGAGAGAACAAGAACCTGCAACGTATGTCAACTGATATATACATTCAAAGCAATAATTTATTACCAGTTGTGAAGAGTCTGTGAATGCTTATCTTTCTTGTATTTACTGTGTAGAGGAGATCTCAGATCTGACTGAACAGATTGGCGAGACTGGAAAAAGCATCCATGAGCTGGAAAAAGCCAAGAAGGCTGTAGAAAGTGAGAAGACTGAAATTCAGACTGCCCTAGAGGAAGCAGAGGTATCTTTCTTTTATATGTAATTTTTTTCTCATTGCCGCATATTGTTCATTTTACAGTGTTATATGCCATTAGTTCTGGTTCTTTGCAATACTTTGTTGACTTTTCTCACAGGGTACACTGGAGCATGAGGAGTCCAAGATTCTCCGCGTTCAGCTTGAGCTCAACCAGATCAAAAGTGAGGTTGACAGGAAGCTGTCAGAGAAGGATGAGGAGATGGAGCAGATCAAGAGGAACAGCCAGAGGGTGACTGACTCCATGCAAAGCACTCTTGATGCTGAGGTCAGGAGCAGGAATGATGCCCTGAGAGTCAAGAAGAAGATGGAGGGAGACTTGAATGAGATGGAGATTCAGCTTAGCCATGCCAACAGGCAGGCTGCTGAGGCCCAGAAACAACTGAGGAATGTCCAGGGACAGCTCAAGGTAAGGTTTATATGATAATTTAGTTTTAAAAAGTTTAAAAAATAGTACAGAAAGTGAATTTTTATTTATTTGTTGTCAGGATGCCCAACTGCACCTTGATGATGCTGTCAGAGGACAGGAAGACATGAAGGAGCAGGTTGCCATGGTGGAGCGCAGAAATGGCCTGATGCTGGCTGAGATTGAGGAGCTGAGAGTCGCTCTGGAGCAGACAGAGAGAGGACGCAAAGTGGCTGAGCAGGAGTTGGTTGATGCCAGTGAGCGTGTCGGACTGCTTCACTCTCAGGTGTGTTTTCATTAATTCACAAGCATCTTATATTTTGACAATACATTATAAATATCACATTAAACATGGCTTTACTTAAACATTTAGAACACCAGTCTTCTGAACACCAAGAAGAAGCTGGAGGCTGACTTCATCCAGGTTCAGGGTGAAGTGGATGATACAGTTCAGGAAGCAAGAAACGCTGAAGAGAAGGCCAAAAAGGCTATCACTGATGTGAGTTTACATCTCAAATTTGCTGTTATGTTTTTTGTTTACATCCACTGATAATGTGTAAGGTTATTATAGCTTATGAGTGAATTAGAGACCATTTATCATTTCAGGCCGCCATGATGGCTGAGGAGCTGAAGAAGGAGCAGGACACCAGTTCTCACCTGGAGAGGATGAAGAAGAACCTGGAGGTCACAGTCAAGGACCTGCAGCACCGTCTGGATGAAGCTGAGAACCTCGCCATGAAGGGTGGCAAGAAGCAGCTCCAAAAACTGGAGTCCCGGGTATGCTCTATATATAAATGCTCACATATCAGTTTAAGAATAAAATCACACTTTAAATGTATCAAATTAATTTAGCCTTCTCTGCAAAAAAAAAAAACATCTAACTGATTGTTTATTTTGACGTTTCAGGTGCGCGAGCTGGAGACGGAAGTTGAGGCTGAGCAGAGACGTGGAGCTGATGCTGTTAAAGGTGTACGCAAATATGAGAGGAGAGTGAAGGAGCTGACCTACCAGGTAAATTTATTCCACTGGTGAATTTAACTAAGTTAATTTACTCAAGTACTAATTTAGACTACATTTCGGAGGGTAAACATTGTACTTTTTACTCCACAAAACATTTTTGACACTCTTTAAACTCACACATTTCCAATTACCCTCTCTGATTAGACGTCTAGTCAGGTATAAGTTGGGTGGAGCTATGCTGGGAATTAAACCCAATTACTCTGCTTAATGAGTACTTTTGATACCTTTAGTGATTGTATCTGAATTCAGGACTACTATTACTTGTAACAGAGTATTTTTACACTGTTGTATTACCACTTTTACATAAAACATCTAAACACTATTGCAAGGGCTTAATTCTGCTTTAACACTCAATAAGTGACCATTCTTTATCTGTATAGACTGAGGAGGACAAGAAGAATGTGACCAGACTTCAGGATCTGGTGGACAAACTGCAGCTCAAAGTCAAGGTCTACAAGAGACAGGCTGAGGAGGCTGTAAGTGAACTACATTTATGTGACTAATCATGTAGCTTAATTATAATAATATCACAACTTACAACTAAATCAATATAACTCTAAACCCTTCACAGGAGGAACAGGCAAACACTCACATGTCCAGGCTTAGGAAGGTTCAGCATGAGCTGGAGGAGGCACAGGAGCGTGCTGACATCGCCGAGTCTCAAGTCAACAAGTTGAGAGTCAAGAGCCGTGATGCTGGAAAGGTAACTTTTTCATTGTCTTTAACAGTGTTATATATCAACCCTATTTATATAATTCATCTATATAACCATGTTTTTTACCTTCCAATATGATACACATGTATAATAACCATATACATAATAACCTCAAAGTTTTGACATTCCATAAAATGTAATGCATTGTTTACATTCCTACAAACACTGCCTACAAAGACTTACTATCTCTCTTTCTTTCAGGGAAGTGACTCTGCTGAATGAGATACAAGATCCAGCTGAGGCATTTTAATAGAGTTCATACAATATGAGCCCCTGAAATCTTTTTTCTGTAAATCTTCAATAAATGTTAAACATTTCTCAAGAATTCTGTTTTCTTTTCACCTTCTTGTGTGTCAAATTAATAACTCTGTAATTATGTGAAATGTTACAAATAGGCTCGAGGCTCATTTGTTGATTATGTAGATCAAATAATTAAGAGCAAACATGAATTGGCAATCAGGTTTAATTTAGGTATTTCCGTTTGCATTGTTATACATTTTTTGTCTGACACTGTTTGCCAGAGTACTGGCTTTAATTTCCATCTACCTATAATTTCTCTTTTTGGATAGCAGAAATATAGCAGTAAGTACTAAAGCAATATTATTTTTAACTGTATACATTGCATTCACATTTGAAAAAACAAAGCAATGAGTTATTATCCACACCACTGAGTTTAAAACAAAATAGACAATGTATACTGCATATATATGGAACATTTAACTAGCAAAGAAGAAAAGAAAAGCTTCAACAAATCACATCAGTGCTGAAAATAAAAACAGCAAGGGCTAATACTTAGTGCAGGAATATGAAAACTACAAATATAATTAACTTTGTTTAATAAATTATTTCCCAAGCCAATTACGGACTTCTAACATTTTATCTCCATTATTTTCTTGAATAGATAATTGACAATGTGGCATACCTGACTATTGTTTATTTCAACCATTCTTCTTATCTTTCTTTCCACCTCCCTTTCCTTTCCCTTGCTCCCCTTTGCATTTTTGTCCTCCTTGAACCATCCCCTTCTGCAGATGGGCTGTGTGAACCTTCTCAATCAGAGAGAAGCAGTCTTCCCCTGGACTGATAGGGCTGGTAACAGCTTCAGGATGTGCTTCACTGGTTGCTCCTGGGTTGGGAGATGATGGCCTTGAGTGGGCTTTTCCAGGACTTGCATGGCTTGGAGAGCTGTGCCTGGACTTAACATCGTCTTTAGGGACAAGGTTTAAGTTGAAGGACATGGGTCTTCCAGGTGCCGGGCTCAGTGGGATTACAACGTTTTCTCCAGGTGCTCCTAGAGTAAGGAAGACTTCTGGGAATGTACATGGTTGGTCAACATTTTCCTGTCAGGCAGATAGGAATCAAATAAGCTTTGATGATGGTACACATGTTTTATTAAGACAAAACCTTGGCCAATTAGCTCACAATCTACACAAGCTGAGACACAGCTTACCTGCTGTGATGTGAAGCTCATGGACACCCTTACTGTCATCTGTAAAGAAATAGCATGTCATTGATTTATTCAAGTGTTTCAGTGACTATTGTTTAGTCTTTTATTCATTGGTGGCCGACTCCAGAAAAGTTTAAAGACTAGGCTTAAAAAAATCAAAGCAGATAGCAAAAGTAGCTTCAAGAAAGGAGCATCACATCGCCCCTGACTGAAACCCTTATCTGGGTAGGGTATGGTCACTACATTTACATGCAGTAATAATTAAACAAATGACAGCAAATGAATGTGACATATATGACTGTGATTTATATTCCTTTTCCTCTCCTGGTAGTCACACTTCTAATGAAGACAAAACATTATTATTATTGTTGTTATATTTGAGGTGAGCAATTTACCTGTGCTGGGGAATTTTGCTTCTTCTGATAATCTGTATCAGGGGTAAATGAAGCAGATTTAGGTAGGGCTCTGGGGGAACCAGATTCTGCATAAGTCTTTTGGGGTTGAGAGGTTGGTCTGGGACAGTCTTTCCTTGTTGTTGTTGGTGTACTTTCAGCCACAGTAATGTGTGGTGGCTGTGGGGAAGCCTTGCAGAAAAAAAATGAAAACAAAGGCCAGTTGAGCTGTCAAGTATTCCGCCATAATAGCTCAGATTTAATAAATCATAACCAATTATGGGTATAAGGCTGTCCATTAAGCAAATATGTCCATGCCCAGGGCATCAGCCATATCTAAATTTGGAGGCATAAAGGTGCTCCAAAATCTAATCAGCTTCAACAAGGGGAACCTATGGTCCAAGTATGACATTTCAGCCATGAATACTTCTTGAGTTAGGCACTTAACACTGTAAACACAAGAATGTGCCCATACACTGACATATATCATGTCTTGTATACCATTCACTATCATCAGTAATGAAATTCTGTGTGACTTACTGGTGTTGTAGCCTTTGTATTTCTACCATTCTCTTTTCTTTCAGTGTTCCCACTTATCCCTGGCAGGGTAGGAAGTGTAACACGCTGATCATCTAGCCGTCGTCCCTGACTGGAGGAAATGATTTTGAAGAATGCGTCAGCATCTGTACCTGTTATGGAGAGTCAAGAGTTATTTATGTGACATCTTGGAGAGAGACAAACACATACTTGATCTGACTGCTTTTTTTTCCTGACCTGTGGGTACATTATTTATAGCACTTCCATTGTGTGTGGGTGTGGCAGGTGTACTTCTGGGTTGTAAAGAGCAACGTTGCTCATCCATACGTCCACCTTGTGAATGACTTATCATTTTAAAGAGCTTTTCCTGCTCAGCTGGAGATGCCTCCTAAAAAATATTTAAACAAAGAAAAGTAATGAGTGGGACAACTCACAAACAACTTATCCAACAGACAATAAAATAATCAGGAGAAAAAAATGCATGACATCTTACCTGCTGATGTTGGTCAGTTTTGACACGGTTTAAGGAGGAAGAGATCTGGGTAGGTTTATCAGATGCATCTGAAATGGGGTGATCTTTACGCTGAGTAGATGGGGTACCCAGATTCTGGGAGATCTGGGGCACAGAACATCTCTGTTCATCCATCCTTGAACCCTGTGGGCGGAAATTAGAATATTTTTTGTTATGTTGGATCAAAGCAGTTGGATGTATTGTTAAACATATTCTATATCTGCAACAAACTAAAAAAGCTTGAAGACTAAAGACAAAAACTATCAATAACCGTTCACAGTGGTGTTTACACTATGCTATATCTGGAACCAACCTGGACTTTGGAGACCATGTAACACAAGTAGCTTGTATCCTTCTCTGCAGCAGTAGATGTTGATGTGGTACCTCCATTCCGTACTCCTGGTAATGACGGAAGAGACACTCGCTGGTCATCAAGTCGACTACCCTGAGAGTTAGCCAGAAGGTTGAACAACTTTTCAGATTCTGAATCTAGAAAGGTGAAAAAGCCACATATTGGTTTTATGATAAAATGTGTAAACAGTGATTGCATTACAACATGAAAGACCACTGAATTAATATGAACATGGTTGCATTCTAACCTTTGGGCGGCGTGCTCTCACTGGGCTTATGTTTGGGTGTGGACTGGGCACTAACATTTAAGACACATCGCTGTTCGTCCATTCGCCCACGCTGGGAATTATTCATTAAGGTAAACAAATCTTCCTGCTCAGGCGAAGCCAAGACCTGTGAGAAAAGTGTACAATGCATATTTAGCTCAGTAAGTAAATAATCTGAAATATAACTTTAATGCATACATAAATGGACATTCAGATTGCAGATCTAATATGAATTGTTGTTTTTTGTAATTTAATGTAATTTACCTCTTGGGGTTAAAAATGATAGCAGTAACTTGATCATATACCTGTTTTTGAGATTCTTTATCTTTACTCTTTGGTCGTTCTACGTCTGAGCTGGGGCTGAAAGAGCTTGAACGTGGAGGGCTTATACCAGACATAGATTTATCATTTTTTGAGCTCTGGGTCTGGTGGGTTATTGGACTTAGCGAGCATCTTTGGTCATCCATTCTGGAACCCTGAAAAGGCATTAGGCAATCATTATTGATCAGCAGACACATTTCTTTAACACATAACATTCCACACAACACTGAGTTCATAATGGTTTTGTGTAATAATATGATTTAAAGAATCTACACTCTAGAAAGCCACACTGTCCACTGGTTAGAATTTTACAAATGAGATATCAGTTTTCAGTAAAACTGTCCTATGTGAAGACAGTGACATGCTTTGACCTGACATTGGGAGGAGTGACCTGCTTTCTGTAAATGTATGGCTGCCTTTTTGTGTCACCTTACATAGTACATTTTATTTTGACCACATTCTAGTTTCATATTTGTGCAAAATTTAAAGCCAGAACTCATATCACTGAAGTATTTTGGTACTTATCAATTTCTATCAAAATATAAAATATTTTGTTTCTTTGAAAAAGGAAAGGACTAACCTGGGCTTTAGAGACCATGTAACACAAATAGTTTGAATCTCCTCCTGCAGTAGATGTGGCATTTTCCTTCCGTACTCCTGGTAATGACGGAAGGGACACCCGCTGGTCATCAAGTCGACTGCCTTGAGAGTTAGCCAGGAGGTTGAACAACTTTTCAGATTCTGAATCTGGAAAGGTAAAAGCAACATATTGGTTTTATGATAAAATGTGTAAACAGTGATTACATTACAACATGAAAGACCACTGAATTAACATGAACGTGTTTGCATTCTAACCTTTGGGCGGCGTGCTCTGACTGGGCTTATGTTTGGGTGTGGACTGGGCACTAACATTTAAGACACATCGCTGTTCGTCCATTCGCCCACGCTGGGAATTATTCATTAAGGTAAACAAATCTTCCTGCTCAGGCGAAGCCAAGACCTGTGAGAAAAGTGTACAATGCATACTTAGCTCAGTAAGTAAATAATCTGAAATATAACTTCAATGCATACATAAATGGACATTCAGATTGCAGATCTAATATGAATTGTTGTTTTTTGTAATTTAATGTAATTTACCTCTTGGGGTTAAAAATGATAGCAGTAACTTGATCATATACCTGTTTTTGAGATTCTTTATCTTTACTCTTTGGTCGTTCTACGTCTGAGCTGGGGCTGAAAGAGCTTGAACGTGGAGGGCCTATACCAGACGTAGATTTATCATTTTTTGAGCTCTGGGTCTGGTGGGTTATTGGACTTAGCGAGCATCTTTGGTCATCCATTCTGGAACCCTGAAAAGGCATTAGGCAATCATTATTGATCAGCAGACACATTTCTTTAACACATAACATTCCACACAACACTGAGTTCATAATGGTTTTGTGTAATAATATGATTTAAAGAATCTACACTCTAGAAAGCCACACTGTCCACTGGTTAGAATTTTACAAATGAGATATCAGTTTTCAGAAAAACTGTCCTATGTGAAGACAGTGGCATGTTTTGACCTGACATTGGGAGGAGTGACCTGCTTTCTGTAAATGTATGGCTGCCTTTTTGTGTCACCTTACATAGTACATTTTATTTTGACCACATTCTAGTTTCATATTTGTGCAAAATTTAAAGCCAGAACTGATATCACTGCAGTATTTTGGTACTTATCAAAATATAAAATATTTTGTTTCTTTGAAAAAGGAAAGGACTAACCTGGGCTTTAGAGACCATGTAACACAAATAGTTTGAATCTCCTCCTGCAGTAGATGTGGCATTTTCATTCCGTACTCCTGGTAATGACGGAAGGGACACCCGCTGGTCATCAAGTCGACTGCCTTGAGAGTTAGCCAGGAGGTTGAACAACTTTTCAGATTCTGAATCTGGAAAGGTGAAAAAGCAACATATTGGTTTTATGATAAAATGTGTAAACAGTGATTACATTACAACATGAAAGACCACTGAATTAACATGAACGTGTTTGCATTCTAACCTTTGGGCGGCGTGCTCTGACTGGGCTTATGTTTGGGTGTGGACTGGGCACTAACATTTAAGACACATCGCTGTTCGTCCATTCGCCCACGCTGGGAATTACTCATTAAGGTTAACAAATCTTCCTGCTCAGTCAAAACCTAGATGTGAAAAAAGTGTACAGTGCATAATAAGCTCAGTAATTAAATAATCTGAAATATAAATCACATGCAAACACAAATGGACATTCATATTACAGATCTAAAACATTGTTTTAAAATTTTGTAATTTACCTAAGTAGCTTAACTTCATATACCTGTTTTTGAGATTCTTTATCTTTACTCTTTGGTCGTTCTACGTCTGAGCTGGGGCTGAAAGAGCTTGAACGTGGAGGGCCTATACCAGACATAGATTTATCATTTTTTGAGCTCTGGGTCTGGTGGGTTATTGGAGTTAGCGAGCATCTTTGGTCATCCATTCTGGAACCCTGAAAAGGCATTAGGCAATCATTATTGATCAGCAGACACATTTCTTTAACACATAACGTTCCACACAACATTGAATTCATTATGGTTTTGTGTAATAACATGACTTAAAGAATCTACGCTCTGGTTAGAATTTTACAAATGACATATCACAGTTTTCAGTAAAACTGTCCTATGTGAAGACAGTGGCATGCTTTGACCTGACATTGGGAGGAGTGACCTGCTTTCTGTAAATGTATGGCTGCCTTTTTGTATCATCTTACATAGTACATTTTGTTTATTCCACATTCTAGTTTCATATTTGTTAAAGCCAGAACTGATATCACTGCAGTATTTTGGTAATTATCAATTTCTATTAACATTTAAAATATTTTGCACTAACCTGGGCTTTAGAGACCATGTCACACAAGCTGTTTGAATCTCCTCCTGCAGTAGATGTGGCATTTTCCTTCCGTACTCCTGGTAATGACGGAAGAGACACTCGCTGGTCATCAAGTCGACTGCTCTGAGAGTTAGCCAGGAGGTTGAACAACTTTTCAGAATCTGAAGCTGGAAAGATAAAACGTGAAAATAGGTGAAGTACATAGAAAGAGAACTTAAATGAAAATTACAATGAAAATGGAACTGTCAACACACCTCTGGAAATGTTGATAAAGACAGAAATTTATAATAATAATTATCATAATTTTATTCGTAAAGCACTTTTCAAGCTTCAAGCAAGCATATACAGAACAAAAAATACAATGAGAAACACGGGAGTCCTCCACCCATATACATATAAAATTAAGAACTAAGATAAAAGTGCTAAAATATTAATATAAATGAAAGAGTAAACCCATGATCCTAAAACAGGCACAATTAAAATTAATTATGTGATGACATAAAACATCATAAAATAATGAAAGTGTGGGCCATCTTCTGAAGTTGGGTCTTCGGGAGACCCACCCACCCATTTATATATACAATGAGTTTTAATTATCACCTGTGTTTGTACTTGCAGCAGGCTTTCTGTCTGTGTGTTTGGGTGTGCAGGGAGCACTCCTGCTAGGATCCAAGGAACAGCGCTGGTCATCCATGCGTCCACGCTGGCCATGGCTGATCATATTCACAAACTTCTGTTGTTCATCAGGTGTTTCTGTCTATTGGACAAAAACAGCGTGATAAAGTTTTTTAATACCACATAGTTAAAGAAGTCCGTAATCATTAAAGCACCCAGAATGATGCAGTAGGACAGAACAGACCTTTATAGTATTGGAGTGGTCACGTTGAGGGGGGACCTGTAATTGGTTTACTGGTACAAACAGATGCTTCCTGTTTGTATCTGGAGTACTTTCGGTGACAGAGATCTCAGGTGCAGAGCCGTGATGGTCACTCAAAGGTTCCTGAGAAAACAAGTCACATTTGGAGTAGACTTCAGCCATTTATTTCATCACACTACCTGTGCAGGTGCATGCACTAAACCCTTTAGTCTAGTACCTGGTAGTTTAACCCTGGCAATGACACACAAAGGTGTTGTCCCTGTTTATCGTCCAAGGTATGGGAGAACTCCTCATTGTTTGAACCTGTGGGGAGCAGGGGTGAAACAATCAGAAATCAAATTACTAAAGGACAGATACATTACAGATAATATCTTTGTGTCTGCTGTCCCAACCTGCAGGTGTATTTTTGACTTGTTTTTTAACTGGACTCAAGACGCAACGCTGTTCATCCATTCGTCCACACTGTGAGGAACTTATGATGTTGAAGATCTTCTCCTGTTCCGTTTCCTGTTGAACACCAGCCAAAAGAAAAAAAAATAGTGTGAACTATCCCAACTAATAGACAGTTTATCCTTGGCACTAAGTTATACCAATCAGTCAAACCCTTTTGGGTCATTGCACAATTTAAAGAGAACTATATATAATAACACCTGGAACCTATGTTGGGGATCAATGCAAAATATGAATGTAACACCAAAATTTTATTAATTACAGTATATTTCATTGCGAAAAGTTGGACTGTGGAAAAGAACAGCATAAAATATTTACTTCTTTTGGTCACTTTCTAAAAATAAATACAATTCTGAACAAACACCTAACACAAGAACTAATACATCAGTCAAGACTGTAAGGAACAGAAAATGCACTGATGGCAAAATGTACACAGACTTAAATGAATTAATGTTTTTCTACAAAAGGTCTTACCAGCGCCGTCTTGGTAGCTTCAGATTTTGAGTCCATTTCAGCAGCTGCTATCATGAAAAATGAATAAGAAAAAAAAAAAGGTGAACTGTCCTCTGCTGAAAACTAGATGAAATGTGCAGAAAGTTAGCCAAAACTACTTCCTGTAATTGATGAAGAAACCCTTCAATACCCTTTTTAACAGAACTACTGTTTGTGCAGTGGAAATGATGGTCCTGACTGATTCTACTCCAAATGTGTACTGGTTGTCTTGGTGGAAGGCTTTTAAATAGAGTTAAGTCCAGAGTATTAACCATTACCATTAAAACCCCAGCCAGTGCCCCGATCTTAACATTATGATCTGTAATCCCAGATGAAAACATAATCCTCGACATGGAAAGGGATGATCTTTTTCACTGGTAGGTGTACATGTTCTCCCTTCCGACCTAACATTGTACTTACAAGCTCCCACAATGTCAAGATATGGCAGATGTAGGCATATGTCCAGTTCATGCAATATTAAAAAACACATATACTTACTTAACATACTTAAAAATAAAGTCAGATAAGACATACTGGTTAAAAGGGTCATATGGTAAATGACCTTGTACTCACATCATGGAGAGTAATGAACTGAACCACAATGTATCAAAATAATAATTGGTCAAAGCTTATCCTCGGAGGACGACAGAACATCTGCTGAATATATTGATCAAATAAAACCATTTGAAATAATGGATTGGTTTATGGCTATACAAATTCAAAGACAAGATGCAACAAATCGTAGTACACTCTCTTAAAATATTAAAGGTATTAAAGGTGGTTTAATAAGCTATCAAGTCAAAAGATCTACAAATCTCAAACAATAAATCTGAGCATAGAAGTTCCTTCTTGACTTTGTGATCAGGATGTGTGACAAAGCTTGTAAGTGGACCATGAGTTGAGATTATTGTTATTTACACATTTAAAACTTTCTATGCCCTTTTAAAGTTCTCTGAAATACCACACACGACACAATTTAAAGTGAATATTATGTTTCTTTTATTACTCTTTTTAAACAACAAAGAAACAAACACCCACCACACATGCTCCCAGCAATATATTAAAGTACATGATAAGTGTGCAAGATTTCATTAAACAGCAGTTGAGACATTCTGTCTGAGATGAAATTCCCCAGATAAGGGAGGAAAAAAAAAGGTACCTTGAGAAAAAAAGAATATACAATACATACTTCTACTGACGTATATACATCTACATTAGGCTCAATAAGATTTTTGGTGCAAGATGATCCAGTTTTAAGGCAATGACGCAATTGCTTGAGTGCAAAATTAGGGAAATCAAATATTTATTGTAGTAACAAAAATAACTATTTGAATGATATTGGTAAAATAATCAAAATATTAATAATCTAATTAAATATTTTAATACAATTTCCATCACAGCAGTATACAGAACCCAATTCATAACAAACAATAAAAAGAACATTCTAAAATAAAGAATCACAAATGTTTTCTTCCATGGATACATCTAAAATGCCTCACTTCAAACGTCATAGATGCTGCAACAGAAGACCAGCAATCCATCATTTCAAATGAAAGACCCTGATTCCAGTGTGCTCTTCCCTGTTCGCCGTCAAACTAACAATCAGGATTAGGAACTTTGTCCAGACTCTTCAGGTCATTGAGGAAGCTGGTTGGAGTCAGGATATGAGATGACCCTGTCAAGGAGAAAATAATATTTATAATTTTTTAAAAAAGGGGAAAACATCTTGAATGTTGCTTTTTCAGGACAAAAATCAAGGCTGCCTCAAGAGTGATTACTCACCAATCAGTACTTCCCATTTCCCATCGGTGGCTCGAGTGACTTCATAGGCAGAGCGCATCTCTGAGTGTGACACCCCACCAATCACAAATATAATAAGCCGAGGGCCAGAGCGATATTCTGTTGGAGTTTTATTTTTGTGCCAGTGTCCAAAACGTGCACTGCTGTAAAAAACAAAACACAACAAATTAAAAAAAATACTTGAGCAACAAGTAATTATTACAAAAACTAAGGCTTATTTGTTATTTTTTGTTATTCATTACACTGAAATGATCTATAATCATATACTTTTTAGTACAGTGTTCACATTAAATTGACCCTGGTAAATAAATGTGAATGGAAATCTTATAAATCAATTAGTCGTATTGGCAGCATGTCAGAAAAACCAACTTTTTTCCAGTCTGGAGGCAAATGGTTCATCAGTCACAATCAGCTGGGAATGTTTAAGAAAAAGTTAAATGTGGGTGAGTGCAAGAGGCCCCTGCTGATCACACTCCAAGTTTACGTTTACACTGAATTTATGTTTTTGTTGTAATGCTATGCTTACTACTCCTGCTAATCAGTTTCACAATGCCACAAAATAGGTCAACTTAACCTCTTTTCAGACTGTCATGTCGGGTTTTATATAGCCAGCCTATATTCTAGTGTTAATATTAATGACTACTCAGTTTTAATTCTGCACTTTGCTAAAAGGGAAGGAGACTATCATTGTGCATTATGCAGATTATTATGAGTGAACCTACATCCATGTAAGTGGTTTGTACAAAACACTATCATCATGACAGGAACTCCCTGAGGGATTATGATGATGATGTATTCAAAGCAAAACTGAGTTAGTTTCACCTTTTCAACTCTGTCAAAAGCTTGGCTCCAACTCAGTTACAGGGATAAAAGCTTTATTTTGACAACCCTAATCTGTCTTCTACCCCAGTTAATATTTTTTACTTAAAAAAAAAAAAAAGCACAACAGTGAATTTTTCAAACAATTTGTTGAACATAACATAACAAATAAAGGTAAGTGGGGATTTTTTTTTTTTCAAGCTGTAATTCTGTATCTACATCGGGAACAAGGTGCTGTTCATGCATGACAAACATTTTCTTTACCGTTTCCAGCACCCACCTGACTGCAGTCTGAGTTGTGTTGATGGGAGCAGGATCAGAGATGAATGGCCACTGCTTCCTGTCCAGTTTGTCCTCTATGGCACTCTGCAATACAGAAAAACAAATAGTGTAAAAGCCAAAAACTAAGCAGGTGTACCTGCAACATCAAAAACCAAATGTTGGCTCTAATACCTCCATGATGTCTTTGATGATGGGTGTCCATCTTGAGAGCTGATATGTGCTCTCTGTGCGCTCCCTCCGATCTGTCAGAGTTTTCCCAGCATTGCGGCCCTAACAAACAACATGACATATGTAACAAATACAGAGGAATACATTTATATTAAAACAACATTGAGACTGTAAACAACCAATCAAGAAATTTACCCCAGCTATTATGTTACAGCCCAGGTTCTGCAGGTTGGTGATGATGTTGCTATCCGCCTGTATGTTTGCATGCTGGATGAGCTTGGCAAGGTTTTCCTCCCCAATGCCTAGATGGATAACCAGACAGGTTTTTGAGCACAAGAAATGTCGGTTTAAAAATATAATATTAAATAAAACAAAAAAAGCTATGACAAGGGCACACCTGTTTTCTTGTGGAATATGTACAGCAGTATGATGCGGATTTTGTCATATGCCTCAATTTCATTGTTGAGGAGCACAGGGACAATGCTCTTCATGGCATCCTTCAGAGGTTCCCCTTCTGCATTGGCTCCCATTGCCAAGTCCTGTGGAAGACACCCGTGGTTAACTATTAACTGCAATTGGAATCTGAATTACCAATTACAGCTCAAGTCAGCTGACAGCCAACTCTCAGGGCAGCTGACACAGGAGGATTACTTGCCTTTCAACCTTATTCTATTTATTTTCCTACTACTTCTCTTACATGACCATACTATGGTTTTAAGAATACTGCATAAGCACTACTGCTTTGACCCTTTCACTAAACTACTTAAAGGTTAATGATGGTGTTACATAAACAATAAACAGCTATAATATTTAGCTCATATTTACAAAATACAAAAAATGTCAAAAATAATGACAAATATTGGCCACTTGACTTAGGCTTTTATACTTACAGTACATCTAGCTTTGGGATTTCCCTGTAATGCAATCCTGGGGCACTGTGTGACCTTCCTAAAAAGTCTTGCTAAGTTTTATGATGAATTTGGACTAAGCCTTGTTAGGGCCAATCAACAACATAACTTTTTGTGAGCAACTGAAACTAGATGGAGGCTAGAAGAGCACATACAAATACAGTACAATATATTTATAACCTTTCACACATATATTTGTAAATGCCTGCCCAAACAATGTGGGTAACACACACACAAATGACAGCTGACATAGAGCTGCTGCTGTTTAGATCACACTATCTGTCTTAGAGCCAAAACATATCCATTGGATTTAAGAGGCAGCTTTCAGACTTGCTGACAATCCATTAGTACGGTCGAGTGATTCACTCATACAAAAAGGCCCCATTAACACCTGCATCTCGTAATGCCACAACCATGCATAGCTTTTCATTTCCTGTGTGCTTGTAACTTATCTGCTGTAAGACTAACTGTGGCAGAATATTTCCCTTCAGGGAGACAAAGCATGTCTGGCACATAAAAACAACAGACTGGGGCTTGGCACTGATATGAACCAGGGATTTATCCGAGGCTCATGCTGATGGAATGACTTCTACATTACCAAGTAGTAAATGTATGTGTTATTTAATGCCTTTACACTCGGTAATGACATAACAGCTCCTTCCTCATTTCTGTAGATATATGGATTTTGATGACCGGACACAAGCTTCTTATGCAATATTACGATTGCAATTCTCCATTAAATATCACCAGATTGTGCCAGTGAACATACCCCAGAGGAGCTATAAATAAAGACGCTTTCATGTCTAGGTCACTAAGTGTGTGCCGTGAGTGGGGCAGAGTAAATCCATGTCCGACATTTTCTCTAAGATACTTACTGTGAGTGGGATATTTTAGCTGATCCCATGTGATATAAAAACTACAGTCTGACAGGATGTTTAGCCAACAAGGCTTGAGCAGACAACTTCCAAGAATTTTAAGTCAAATGGTCCATTTGTCATCTATGGGTAGCTTTCTCTTCAGGGATCAAGGGATATTGTCATATTTCTATTTATACCTCCAACTATAGATGTACAGGACAACTATAGCCTCACTCATGTCATTGCCATAAAACCGTAGATGCAATTAACTGGACCTCCACAGTACGATTAAAAACATTACAACTATGTTATTACGTTTTTAAGAATCAGAGTTGTTTTTTGCTACAATGACAATGCTGTTTGTGTCCTAATTGCTCTGAATCAAAATGTCAATGACGCTGTCAAAAGATGATTTCAACTGTACAACCCAGAAGTACAAAAGTACTGACCTGTTCCACTTCACAAAGCTTATCAAGAGAGGCCTTGAATTTCTTCATACAAGCTTCAGCTAGGTGCAAGTGAGTAGAGTACTGTGAATGAAAATGTGTAAAGATGAATTATAATCTGATTTATAAAACCTTTTTTCAAAGCTACAAGCAAGATTGACAGATCTGACATGAGAGAGAAACTTTCTGGATCTACTACACAGGGAGATATCAGATCAGATAAATACTAATTCAATTTAAATATATAGTCCTAATAATAAACAGTACTTCCTTTACAATAGATTACAATTAGATGATGATACAAAAAGGTGAAGAGTTGTTTCTTTTCCTTCATCCCACTCACCATGCTCAGCTCCTTCTGATACTGTGGCATCTTCTTTAACATCTGAGAGAGATCTTTTATGTTGGCCTGAAATGCAAAATATTTTTTTTTACCAAAACTGAATCATAAGATAAAAATAGTCTTCATGTTGTATCATTTGGAATAATAATTGTATTATAATTAGTACTGCACATGAATACTCACATTGTCAGTGCACATTCTCTTGCTCTCACAAAAGGAACGAAGAAGCTCTGTCACTTTCCTGCAACAATGGGTTTCGAAAAGGATTCGTTACCTTGTGCAGAAGCACATTTACAATAATATTACTTTAAGTACCGTAATTCAAGAAGTACTAAGATACAACAGATATGCTCATCAGTTGTGACAGACTTACTTAGTGACATCTGCAATGTGCATATGTCTGAGCTGAACCCAGAGCTCATCATCTTCGTCCAATAACACTTCTCTCTCGTTTGAATTCCCAATGCCGGTTGTCTGATAACTTAAAAATGCAACAAGTACACATGTACAGGACAAATGAGTATGGAGAAGTGGTATGCCCAAAAAAGCACACTGACAAACAAAGCAAATAGACAGCAACCGATATATGATGTTCACTCACGCATAGATGTCCTGTTTGATATCTAGCAAGTCGTAGGCCATTGCCTGCAAGGTCAACTCATGTAGAATAGGTGAGATGGGATCAAAGCCACGATCAACAATCAGTAGCTGGGATCGCGCCTTATCTGCACCCTAAAAACAGTGAACATAACATATATCATCTTCTACTCTTGAAGGATTTACTTAACCAATGCATAATACATTTAGATCTAGTCTCCAGTACACATGAAATATAAAGCCCCTAATTATGTTTTTGTGACTGTGTCATGCAGTGAAAGACAGTTCTTATCTGTACAAGTTCAATTTCACTATCTTATGCACAAGGCAGCACTTCCACAAAGTCGTACAGTCAAGTACAATAAAAATACAGTGAACTTTAGATGTGTGGGGACAAAAAGTACAATAATACATGCCTGTTAAGACCCATCTCAGGAGCAAGGAAATGTCAGCTAAGAAAGACAGAAAAAAAGAAGGGCAATAGGGAAAGGTCCAGCAAAGCGTGAGAAAAAGAATCATAAGGAAGTAAAACCCAGAAACCACAGAAACGTCAACAACCTGGGAAGGTGAAGAGCCCAAAGGAAGTGTATTCTCTTATATGGGATAGTTGGTTTAGCAGAAAAAAAGCAGTATGAAAATTCAGTTCACCAATTTTCATCAAAGAATTGTATTAATACAGTAGAACACATAAGAATTGTTGTGGGTTGAAGTAGTTTCTAACCTCTCCCATGCTTGGGTTGTCAGCTTTGTGAGCAGTAAGGCGCCGGTAGACCTCCTCAGCCAGTCTAGCATTTTCCTCTGGTCCCCTTAAAGACAGAAAGGTAAACAACCAAATCAGCGAATTCAGTGGCAAAATTATTTCACTGTAGGATGGAAGGCTTCCATACTTGCGGTAACGGATTGCAGGGTACTCCTTAAGTGTATCACACAGGGTTGCGATCTGCTCTGCCAGATTTTCCATCATTTTTTCTTTTTCTTCATTTGGCTTAGAACTATAGAAGGAGAACAAGGAGGTCGGATCATCCAGGGAGAAAACCTGCAGGGGTGAGAGGGATTGAGGTTTAGAGTATGTTAACAACAACAATCTGCACTATTTATATATTTACATTTAATGGTAAAAAAAATCCTGTGCGTATTGTGAAAGGTGTCACTTTCAATAATAAATCCATGGAGAAGTATGACCCCACTCTACAGTTCCCCCCAGCTCTAGAGAGCGTTTCAGCATTTTCGGCTGTTTTGTTCACTCTCCCATCAATCTCTGATAAACCCTCAAAATTAGTGACTAGCTGGTAAACATAGCGGAGCATTTAACAGCCAGAGAAAGATCAATATCTCAGGAGCTGTTAGTAATCAAAACATAGGTAAAACAAAAGTGAATAACAACTGCACAGCCAAATAAAATCAAGTTAGTTAAAGTAAAGAGGAGATCAGTCCTTACCTGAGACTCATATGGCAGGAAAGCAACGTTGATCTCTTTTAAAGTCTTGACGACCTTGGCAACTCTGGCTCTGCCAATCTCCGCGAAGAGACCATCTGGACAAGCTATGGTATCAAAAAGAAAGAAAGAAATACATTAGAAATGGCTTAATGTAATTATTCAACATATTTTGCACAGTACGTTTGAATTTAAAAGGTGAAAAATGTTTCTTATATGTTTAAACTCGGTATGTTTTTCATGAAATTGATGATGCAAATGTGCACAGTACTACACACACCTACACACACATACACACACACACACACACACACACACACACACACACACACACACACACACACACACACACACACACACACACTTACTGTCAGTGAAGAAGATGTGTGCTGCTTTGTAAGTAAAGGCAGCGTCTTTGAAATCGTTAATGAGAGCACGAACAGACTGGAATTGGAAACAAATTTTTGCTTAAAAGTTATACATTATATAAAAAATATCACAATGAACACAGAAGATCTTAACATTATGAAGGGAATTCTGAGAAAAAGGCAACAGCAGCTAACCTTCTCCACAGGTGAAATCAAATAAATGGCCTCCAGACTAGAGATGGGCTCCCTTCGTTTATTGATGTCCTCCACAACTGAAAAAGAGAAAACGGAAGACTTTTAGTTCAATCTAAACAATCTGACTTGATAAATGTAACTACAAGTGAAACATCATCATCATGTAACATGAAATACTCTGATATAATGTACCAGCTAAGTAAGCTCTGGCATGAATTGCAAGTGTCTGTGGAATTCCTAGAAAGGCATCAAAAACATTGGGATCTTGCTTTCATAAGGATGTTGATAAAATGCTTCTACAAGTGCAAATTCTGAATTTTGTTTTAATTGTGCCATCCAGATATAATATTGGGAAGAGGATGAGCCTTTTGTATGTGACCAGGACAACACTTCCTACCATTCACTTGAACCAACAAAACCCTGCTCTAAAGATATACTGTAAATATCCCAGATTGTTCTAAAACAGTTTGAAGAAGATGGCAAAGGTTAAGCAACCCTTCAAAAAAATTATACTGGTATCTGTTGGTTTGATGCCTCATGTATACAACTGATCCATAGGAGAAAGAAGAAACATGAATTATCTGCCACTTACTGGTCACCCCCTCTGCCAAAATGTCAGACATCTTGCAGCAAGAGGACAGAATCCGCATGCTCATGTGATCCACAATGAGAACCTGAAGAAACATGAGATAAACAGGACTTAAAATAATAAACTCGGTGTGATGGGGGATTTTCAATTCTTATTGGGCAACTGTTACCTTCCATTCTCCATCCTTCTTAACACTCTTGATGACCCCGTTGAGGATTTCTGAGGAAGGGAAGAAAAAGATCCATATACCATTACAGAACTATCAATAATTTCTGAGGGATTTTAGTAATGACACCAATACAGCAATACGTGGCAATGCTGTTTGAGAACCAGAAGTAGCATAACAATAATAATATTTTATGTAATAGCTATAATTTACCAAACATTCAATTATATATTGTGTCTCAGTGGCTAAATAGTAAACAAATACATGTGTGGCATCAATGAAAGGTTTATTAAGTTAAATTACTTTCATTTAAAGTAAAATATCAAACTGAAATGTTGAGAGATTTCACAAATAAACACAGTGCAAAGGGTAAGAGGTCAGTTTTTTGTACAACGCTCTACATCAGGAAACAGGAACTTTCTAGAAACAAACAACTAGCACTTGTATTTACAAACTCACAAGTTAGTTGAGTGCAACTTCCTTGTGTTATACTGTTGAGATTACAGTGTATGAAGATCAGACAAAAGCATATTTGTTCCAGGGACTTCATAGGCACAACAGCTGAGGTGTGGTACTACTGGTGAAACAAAACGGAGGATTTCCTGCAGTGTTTTATAGTGAGGGTGGGCCACTTTGCCCAAAATGCCCTGAAATCAAATATTAGCCTTCGGGGTAAAAGAGCAGAGGCACTATTTGATACAGTAAAAGCCATTAGATTTAGTGTGGCTACCATGTAAAGGTCAACATCTACTCACCAGGATCTGGGTGACTTACCACCACAGCTAAAGCATTTCCTCCCTTTAAATGTGTATAGAGAGACCTACACAGATGTGATGTAATGTTCCTGACACTTAACTTCCTTGTTTTATCTCATTAGAAACACATCAGTGACTTCCGAAGACAATCTGATTACTAAGTCACACTAACACATCAATACACTTGTTAATTTACATGATAATTGGCTGCTTATGGGAAGTTAAATTCTGCAGTTTATTAAAATATAAAACATGTAAATGTTTATACAGGAAACTGATCGTTGGCGTGGGTTAGGTTTTTTTTAGAAATTATTTTGGACCAAGTGGAAATTACTCACAAATGTCTCGTCTTGCAATGCCCTATTTCCATACAGGGAACTGGAAAAAATGACTACTTGTAACCGGAATTGTTTACATCAAAGCAGACAGCCATCAGGCCATTTTAGCAATCTTGATCTTACCCTACGTATTTGTTAATTTTTCAAATGTACCAAAATATATCTGCTTGCAAAATTGCCCTGACTTGCCCTGACCGCTGTGTTAGGCCTTATTTGACTTTATTCTGTCACTGCTCTGCGGTTACTGACAGATCTTATTTAGCACTGTAAACAGTGACAAGGGAGTGGACATCCCCATTCTTTAACTCAACTTGTGCGCACAAGTGTTTTCGAGCATCACGCTCAAATTGGGGACAATTTCAAAGACATGAAATAGCATACTCCAAGGCTCATAGAGGAAATAGGTTAAAGGCCATTACAGACAAGTGGATAGTCAGTACTGATCTGATCTCTGCATCCTGGGCATTGTCAGGGCTACTTGTATTACCAGTCCAGACCTGAGGATCTCAGCAATCCTGGGTGACGGGTTCACACTACACTGCTCTTTTTTACAAGAGCAAAATGTACAATCACAGACACATCTCCTAACTCCTGATATATTGAGTTAAAGTTAAAGGTTATATCAGTGTTCAGAGAAACTTTGGTTTTACTCAACCACTTAATCACAATGCTTAAAATGTTAAACACATGATAATGCTATTTCTCTTTGAGGATATTTGTGAATACAAACTGCTCTAATCAATAATTATTAAAGCAACATGTAACGTTATTAAAACAAAATGCTTTCAGTGGATCTATGACGTTATTTAAACAACAGTTATTTGTTAGACGAAACGAGACGAGTGAGTTATTAAATATATAAAATATATGTAACGTTTTGTGACAAAAAGAAGCTGTAATTTTGTTGATGTTTAATGGCTCCCCGCTGATTTACAGCACAGCCATCACAAGCGAAGTTGTCGAACTTCCTTTTAGGTTAGCATGCTAACGTTAGCCTATAACGTAACTCAGTGCTGTCACAACATTTCCACTCAACGACTTTCTTCCCTTTATGTCACAACAACGTCAGCAAAAAAAATAAATAAAATAAAACAACACATACAACGCAGAAATACTACTTCTTATTGTTTGTAAATGAGTTACTTGGTTGGTGATAACGTTATTTACTTCGGTAATGTTAAAATGTGAACTGGGACTGGAGCAGGAAGAAACCTCTGGCGGACCGACACCAGCGGGGTGATGCGTCGCAAGTTCCCCGGCGATTTATCGACCTCCGACGAGATAAGTTCGCATAAACTACCTGTGTCTCTTTCGGATGGGATCAACTTAAGAAAGCAGACAACGTTAAAACGAATGTGTCACTTACTTTCTCCTACTACCGCCTTCAGCCCACTCGGTGCCATCTTGACAACTAGTCTGCTGGTTAGTCGGTCACTTCCTTGTTGTGAGAGCCTGAGTGGTTCAAGCCCACAGCTTTGGGCAGTGAAATGTTGCCCCCTTGTGTCCGATACTAGTATTGCTTTTTATATTGACTATATTGTTGTAACAAAGTGCAAATATATCGGCAAAGCTACTTTAATACTAATTAATTAAAATAAATTAATAAAATCTTGTGCAATTCCTGGCTTTTAAAAAAAATATATATTCACTGTGTCTAGTAACTGTAATTTTCTGTGGGTGAACATTATTATAATCACATGGCTTCCATCACATCACATCACATGAAGAACAGTATTCGTCAGCCTCTCACATTGTAAAATATATTTTGAATCTAACTTTCAAAATGAATGCAGCCATGAGAAAGAAACAGCTGCGAGAAAGAAATAGGCCTACACACACACTATCTTGCCAGTGTTGGCAAATACATTAGAGTATCATCTGATGAGCCTTGGGAAAAGCATGTCATCACTTCATCAGGACGGATGAGAAGTTAACAACAGTTTATTAGTGAGGGGACACAGCCAAGACTTTAAGAGTGTTTTGACAAACCAAACCCTCTCAGATATAGTCATAATTGGGAGATCAGGTGGCTGTGCTACTCTAAAGACGGTCATTTGCTTTACATGATTTATGTTGCTTTTGCACTCCAATCAACACATAATTCAGGGCCAAATTCCCAAATAAAGACGTAATCATAGGATGTGCAGCATCCATATCCAAACACAACCACATTCAATGAGCAAAAACATTCTGTTACAATAGGTGAAACAAAACCAACAAATGACTTTAATTTAAAAAAATAAAGCGTTTAAATAACAAGCTGTTAATAAGAATTATACACATAATCAGTACCCTCGACTCCTTCAACTTTTTTATACACAGTGGATGTAACTGGGCTTTTATGACAATGATAAACAGAAAAATATTACATAATGTCAATGCATCACACAACTGACACAACTAAATCTTCACTGGTGAAGCCAATTGTTTTACAATGTCACAAATTGATACCCTATGCATAGCCAAGGTGTGACAAGTGATTTCAACTTAAACATACCTGCAAAGTGCAAAAATCACAAAGACAAAGAAACATTCAATGCAACAGTGCTCAGTGTATAAGTATACTCTTTTAAATAAACTACTGTTACCAAAAATTTAGAATATCTTAACTAGTGTTTGCCAGAAGGTACAAGGAAGTGTCCAAAACACAGTCTGATGAGACAGGATGAGCTTTCATCATACTAAGATATGTTTGATTACCAGAAAAGCACTACACACACACCATGAAGTTTGTGGTGGTGGTGCTGTAGGTATGATCATCAGCAGCAGGGAGACGTTACAATGAATGCAGCAAAATACAGATAAATAACAGAAGAAAACCTGCTGCCCACCTTCCTCTGTTAGTGAACTGTGTCCTGAGGTACAATGTAATTCAGAATAAGACCACCCAGAGTATAAAGCTAAAGCCTCCCCTTCTTTACAACATAGGCTAAAGACAATAATAACTGCCATGGGTCAAATATTGATGAATACGTAAGCAACCTGTTAGTTTGTTTTTTTATTTTTGTGCTTAAGATTTGAGAGATATTTGTTTTACACTTTGGTATTAAGGTCTCTTTCTGTTGATCTTGGTGAAAAATGCCCAATTACATCAACTGTGATACAATGTTGTAAAACACTAAACATGGGAAAAAACTGAGAGGGGGTAAATACATTTTACGTGCACTGCGCCTCACATAATAAATCATAATTACATTACATCCAACTGGATATAAGGCTCAAATAATTATTTTATGACAGTGTAATCACAGCAACTCAACTGATCAGGCATCCAAACAAAACACAAATCATTCTGGCATTTGAAAAGTCTTGTGTTATAAAGTCACAAACTTAATAAAAGATATATTAGACATAGTTTATCCCTTTAAAACACGCAGCACACCTTAGGGATTTGTTAAGTTCTCAGAGATTTCCAATGTGTCCACTCAAGTCCGACCAGTTTTCTTCTGTCCAAAAAACATTACGAGATAATCCTCCATTGGTGGCGCTCAAAACTCGCTTCGACATAATATCCTCAATTTTCAGATTCCACAGACATCTCTTTTAATATCCGCTTCTCCTTTCGAGCACGCATTCGCTCTTTGAAGTCCTCCAACTCTTTCCTCTGAAAATAAATATGGCACAATCATTATTATCATCACATTTTGCTGTCATCAAAAACACTGCTCTATAGGTTAAAAAGTCAGCTATGGAAACATGAAGAGAAAAATGACAAAGATTTGCAATTTTAGGGTTGAATCATGGTGGAAAATGGGAAATAATAACAATAATAATTGTAGGATTATTAGCTTTTCTATTACCCAACTGTTAAAAGAAGAAACATCTTTATGTATGTATTAAACTTGGATTTACAAGGTAAACTTGTGGTGTATTTTGGGGGGTTTTCATGGACTGTATGGATGAGCTCTGCACATTACACTTACATGCATTCTTTCGTCAGGGGGGAAGATCTCCCTCTGGATACCACAAAAGATGCCATCATAGTAAATGAGAAGGAGACATTTTATTATTATATTAGTACAAGTCGCAGTAAATGGACTGATATGTACGATCAAAAAATAAAAGCAGCACTACTCACCTTTCTCTTTATTACGTACTCTTCAAAGTACTCTGCTTGATTTGAGACCCAGAACATGGCCACAGGAAAGGACAGATACAGCATCATCTGTTCAAAACAAATCCAGATAGAGCAGCTAGTGAGTGACAGAGGAAACCTGTTAGATCATGTGCACAGCAGCCTTGTGATAGGGATTTATTAGCTAGATCCAAACAGGAAACCTCGATTTGTACGAGTTCAAGCATTAAGATGAATACATATTAACGTTGTTTTAAAATATGTCCTACTTACTCTGAACACCTCTATCTTAACACCCATTTTCACATCGACTCGGAGCCCACCGCGGTGAAATTATCCAACCATCGCCGAAGACCTTCAAATTACTTCCGGGTGTCTAGAAAGTTCAAGCGCTTCATAGCCAATGCGCATGCGCGTGGGTTGTAAGAAATACACATTTTCAACACGGCTGAAAAATATGTGACATCCCTTTTTTATTTATTTATTTATTTATTTTTTGCAGCTTAATTAAATAGAATTTGGAGATCTAAAAATCTGAAGCCTGCTTTTGGATCACAGCTGACCTCCGGATGAATAAATGCATTTTGCTCAGTGGTTGTCCACTGAGAGGCGCTGCAAACCATGTCTCTGTGCATTTAAGGTAAGATTTACATTAATTATCTACAAAGAACCTAACACTGGATGTTATCCAACCCCGTTCAACTTACCATTAATGTAATAAAACATAAAAACAAATGTGTCTAGTGAGTGAGTTGATAGTAACCTTATTTTTTCAAATATATTTAAATACAGTGATATTACCAAACACATTTAACTGTATCTTCCATCTCATTTGAACTCAATTTTTTGGAAACATCTGTTTTGAACTAGTTTTACTTGACTCTCACCTAGTTTAGGAAGTTAAATCACATCTAATCTGATAAAAACATACAGAACAGAAAACTGCTCCTTAAGGTTAGTGGGTCTAACGGTGGACACTGATACTATGGAAGCTGTAACGTGAGGATATAGACAGGAGAACCAAACAATGAGGATAAATACTATTATGTGTAGTAGTAGTAGTAGCTGTTTTTCTTTTTATTTCTTGTCTGGCACTGATAAATTAATATGGTCTGAGAAGTTAATTCTACTAAAACAGTAAACCAACTTGATTGTAGTGCAGTGCAGTACCTTTTTTTATTTAAATATATATATTTTCCACAGCACCAGTGTCCCTCAATGTCCCGTTTTGCAGCGTTATCCGGGGGCACAGATGTAATTTCTCCCCTCAGTTGCCGCTAAAGTTGCAGTCGGGTCTGTGACGCGCTCTTTACGTCCTCAACCAAAGACCTACGCGTGACGTCATCGACGACGAGAGGTGTTCAGGATCCTCGGAGAGAAAGATCCCGCGCGCCCTGGCAACCTGATAAACCCAGGTAAACGCCGTTGTTTCAAACATTATTCTGCCAGTCATCTTGTCTCAGTAAACCGAACGAGTAGACAGCAAGAGACGCGGTCACAGCAGTGTAAAAGGCTCGAGAGCTGACGCTGGTGCCCGGCGCCCACTGAGACCGTTCACTTGCACGGCGGCCTGTTCTGGCTAACTAGCTTGCGAGCTAAAGCTAGTTGGCAGTTGTCTATCAAAAGACACAATAACCGCACCTACATTGTGTGTCTATCTGACACCCCTTGACTGTCTCACCCACTGTGTGCCACAATTACGCTACAAATAGCCCAACAAATGCTGCTACGACCACCGTGTTGGGCATCTATTGCTAGTTTGCTCGTCGACCGTCTTGTGTTGTGGGAGACGGTGACGCCGTCACGGTGATGATGGCGCACACTCAGACTGAGGCTATTTGATGAGAATGCAGTCAGTGGAGCAGATAACACAAAATACAACTGTAATGTTCAGTTTACGTAGCTTGCCGCCATGATCTTGGTATCAAAATATCTCCATCTTCGTACGGTTTCAGTTTTCGCTGTGCACAGAACTGACGTCCATTACGAAACCCGGGCAATAATCTATGCCCTGTGGCCTAACGTCAGGATCTTGGCTCCTCGACGACGGTCGCTCGCCAGCAGTCATTACTTTGCAATTTATCGTTTTATTCACCACATCTGGTAATGGTCCCTGTCCCAGACAGATGTGTTGGGGTTCGCAGTGTTTATGTGGTTGGTATTGTAGACACAAAGCAGTGGTATTCAGCCGACTGGTGTGCTCAAACAGATCATGCAGAGGCCCGTTACTTAACACACTGTCCCTGCTGTTTTCCTTGTAAGAGGAATCCTCGATACTACAGTCGGGAAACGTGTTTTGTTTTTTTTTTAAATTGTAATTGTTGCCTATCGCTTTCAGATCTTTGTAATAGCAAACACTAGTCTACCTACAGTCACATGCTTGTTTTGGATAGGCTTCTTTGCCTAAA